ACTGCCCCCTGTAAGTTAATGAGAATGTCTATTGATCTTAACTTGAGCCTTTCATACACACACTGACAGAAGCTGTACTATTCACATTAAGCAAGCTGCTTGTGGAAGACAAGCTCAAGGAAAAAAAAAAAAAATGTGGAACTTTCAAGCTCTGCTAAAATTGCCAGCACCACATCCATACACTTACAGAAACATGAAAGTGGCGGAGATAGGCACTTTTGAAGCTTTATAATTACATGCAAATCTATGCAGAGTACTCCTCTCAAAATAAATATATATATATTCCCGTGACTTAATTAATTTTATGTAAAATGCATTTTCATCTGATAAACAGATCTCAAGGTCCTCAAAAGAACTGTTTTAGTTATTTCAGGAGCGGTGTTTAGATGAATCAAGAATACAAGCCATTAAATATTTTAACTCCGTAGTTCCCAAAAAAGAGCTAATTAATTAGCTTATCTATGGCTATCAGAGTAAGATTCTTGGCTGTCTGTATTAGGCACTGGTTACATTAGGGGATGATTCAGTGTTTCATCAGCACACTAAACTGGGTCACCCCCTTCATACTTAACATACGCCCGCCCTCCATTTTAACCTCTATACTACCATATGGGCTGTGTATACCAATACACAAAATCCAAAAGCAAGAGTATAGTGGCATTAAAGAAAAATCTAGATAAATCAATAGCTTGGAGAAAAAAAAATACATCAACAAAGACCAAACATCTTCATAAAGGATTCTGTTTAATAATCAAGTTCAGGTACAAAGAAAAAAAAAAAAAAACAAGCCTTAGAAAAATTTACCTCCAGATAAAACCATAGTGGAAAACACAGGAAGGAGCGACAATTTAGATCCGCAGTGAACTAGTTTACAGAACACGAAAACAGCTAAAATCTCCATATGGTCTGATCTAACAGGCTGGGAAACGCACGCACACAGAATTCAATCAACTACATAAATATACAGTCACATGTAATTATACTGTGCCTTCACTATAAAGTAAAAAAAAAATAATTCACGTTTTAATCATGTCAAGAACCCAGTTAATAAAAGCAACAGAATCAAGAAAGCAAAATATCCCAAGGTGTTATTTGGCAGGAATCCTCTTTTGAAGTTCCCATTCCACCTGAAAAGGAAGCCCATGAGGCACAACATGTCAAGTGCAAAGCAGAGAAGCAAAAGAAGGTTAAAAACAAACATCTAACTCATCATACACAAATTAAGTATTTAAGACAGGCAATTTCAGACTATTTTTTCCCCAAGTTATCTCCTCTCCCTACACTATCAAACCCTCAACTACAGATAGTAAACAAGCCTATGTACAAACAAAACCACATCAGATAACCTGGATAATGCCAGCATTAGAATCCCCCCCCCCCCCCCCATAAAACCAATACACCAAACAGAATTGTTATACAGAATTTATGTAGCACAGAGTTTGCAAAGCGCTTTACAAAATAAAGGGAGACAGTACAGTTGCAATCCAATCCAAGAGGGTGAGAAGATCCCTGCTCTGAGAGCTTACAATCTCAAAAGCACTGAAGTCAATATACAGCCTTTACTAAGGTTTATTTACCAGCAATGTGACTCAAGTCCTGAACTCCAGTACTGTCATCGCCCTCCTCCAACAAACAAATACTAAGTCAACTACCCACTCCCCCAAAAAAAATCCCAAACCCCAATACTGCAACCCCCCAATGTAAATAAAAACAAAACAAGTCAACTAATGCCCGCCAAAAAAATCCTAAAGTCATCACCCTGTCAATATAAACAATAAAATAATCAAGTCAATAGGTGCACCCTAAAACTGACCACAGCAATAACAGCCCGCCAAAAAATCCCAAACGCCTGAAGTCGACCTAATCTGCCAAAAAAAAAAAAACAACCCACACTAAAGTCAATAGCAGCACCGTGCCCCCCCCCCCCCCAAAAAAAGGAACCCTAAACCCCAGTGCTGTCAACTCCTCTAATGCAAACAAAAGCTAAACTAGTCAATAGCCTCCCCACCTTAAAAAAAAGTCCTAAATCCCAGTACTGTAACTCACCCAATAGGCCAAATACCTACCCCCCCCCCAAAAAAAAATCTGACCCCAACATTATCAACCTCATTCAGCGCACACAAGAACTAAACGAGACTGCTGCCTACAGCCAAAAAAAGAAAATTAACCCCAGTACTGGCACCCCCTCCTCCAATATACAAATCTAAAGACTTAACATGTCAACTGCTTCCCCTCCACCAAAAAAGTCAAACCCCAATAATGTCAATGCCTCCAGTTAAAAGAGGAATAGCCCCTAAAAAAAAAGTTCTGAACCCCAATATAGTAAAAAAAATCAAAGCAGCCAATGACACCCCCCAAAAAAATCTGCCTAGTACTATCACCTCCTAATTCAAACACGCAGGAGTTAGCTACCCCCTCCCCCGCCAAAAAAGTCCTGAACCCCAATACTGTCACTGCCAATATGTAACCATCACCTTCCTCGTTCAATGCACACAGGAGTTACCCCCAACCCCCCCAAAAAAAAAACTCTACCCCCAATACTGCCCCCCTCTAAATATAAAACAAATCACCTGCCCCCCACCCCAAAGTCCTAAGCTCCAGTACTGTCAGCTGATCATCCAATTGAACACGAGAACTAGAACATACAATACAAGCCCCCCGATTAAAATAGCCCCATCACTGCCCCCTCCTCCAATGTAAACAAACATTAAACAGGTCAGTGGTATCCCCCCACAAACAGTCCCGGGGTGTCAGGCTAGCCGGCTGTGTTCTCTAAGTTTTCATTCCCCCACAAAGAAGGACGGTGGTGCCGGCGGAGGGCAGAGAGGCGGCCGCGGAGGGTGTCGGGGGGTGTACGATAGAGCTCGGAGGAGGGAGAGTGCGGTGTCCGGTCGGGCAGAGTGTAGAGCGGCGTGCGGCGGAGTGCTGAGCGGCGAGCGCTGTGTTGTATCTATAGGAGAGGAGGGAGGACAAGGAGCGGAGCCTGGCACCACAGCGCCCCCTCCGCCCACTCCCCGCCATCACAGCCCGAGCAGCGGAGGAGACAAGTTCAATAAAAGAAGCAGAAAAAAAAAGTCCCGATAATAAAATAAACTTGGAGGAGAGGTGTACGGCGGCGGCGAGGAGCGGGAGAAGCGGGCGGCACACACCCGGCACGGCCGGAGCACATACGGGGGAGAAGGAGCGGGAGAGCCGGCAAGGAGAAGAGCGGCGCCACTAGCACAGAGCCGGCGCCATCTTGGCTGATCGATGAATTGAACAAAGAGGATCAATTTCTGATAAAACGTTATCAATGAGAGCGGCCGGGGGAGAAGCGGGCGGTTTTGCCGGGGTCCCGGGCGGCGGAGAAGGGAGCGGAGCGGACGGGCGGGAGGCGGGGAGGGAGCGGGAGAGGGTGGCAGGGGAGAGGAGGAGAGAAAACGGAGCTGACCTGCAGCTGCTGTAAATCAAAGCGCTTCCAATATTGAAACATCGATCCCGCATTGGCCGCCATCTTGAGACATATTGAGACGGAGTGAGAGGCTGATAGAGAGGGGGCTGGAGTTCAGGAGCAGAGCGGCGGGCGAAGGAGGGGGAAAGGAAAGGAGGGAGGGAGCAAAACACGGAGCGGACTTCTCCACACCCACCCTCCCACTTCACCACACCGCCTGCCCGGCTCTCCTCACAGCACAGACGGGGGACGCCTCACATCACTCCCGCCTCTGCCCGACCCGAGGCCCCGGCTTTGGCCCGGCCTTCTCTCCCGCCCGCCTGGCCCCCCCCTCACACAGCGGCGCGGGACTTGTGTGACGTCACCAGACACACGGAGCCCGGCCATTCCAGTCACACACAGCACCGGGCTCGTTATGCTACGCAGACATACGGCGCCGGTCATGTGCGGGTTAAACACCCCCAACCCCCTACCACAGAGACCAAGTGAGGTCAGGCCGCCATAGAACACACACACAGGGGGCGCAGCGTCACAATAGACTTTATTAGTGTACATCACACGGCGGACATTACAGGAGCGGGCACCGCCAGCCCAACCATTCACGTGAGCAGCAAGAGGTTAACGGGGGGCGTGGTTTGGGGGTGTCAGGCGCTGGACGCTGATAGGAGGAGACGGCTTCCACACTTCAGGCGGAGGAAAAAATAAACATTACAGAGCGCGGGGAGAGCGCCGAGCACGGGGTGAGCGGTGACAGGAGAGCGGCCACAGGGCTCGCCGGACATATGCACACTGCGATCTGATCGTACGATCTCCTTTACAAGTGTGGACCGTCTGATTTCATACATCTTGTATACGTTGTTGTGGTCACTCTAAAGCCTAGTACACACCATCAGAATATCAGACGAGTGATCGTGGGGGTTTTTATGCATGCTAGACTCCATATCGAAAATTAAAGTTATGAAAACATTTGTACAACAGAATAAAAATTTGGAAGTATTTACCGTTGAAAACTGTGTTGGTTAAAAAAAATCGTACAATCTGGTAGCATACAAGAAACATTTTAATGGTTGTTCCATCAGATAATTTCACACGACCTGTCCGGATTGGCTCTCGAAATCTGTGTACTAATGATCAGATTATCGGATGATCGCTTCGAAAGCGGTATATTTAAATGATTTCAGATCATGTGTAGTCCGCTTTAATCACTTACCTACCGGGCACTTATACCCCCTTCCTGCCCAGGCCAATTTCCAGCTTTCAGCACTGTCACACTTTGAATGACAACTGCGCAGTCATGCAACACTGTACCCATATGAAATTTTATTTTTTTAGACAGCTTTATTTTGGTGGTATTTAATCACCTCTGGGTTTTTTATTTTTTTCTTAAACCAAAAACCACTGAAAATTTAGAAAAAAAAAAGTTTTTTCTTGTTTTTTTGTTATAAAATTTTGTAAATAAGTGATTTTTCTCCTTCACTGATGTGCGCTAATGAGGCTGCACTGATGGGCACTGGTAGGTGGCACTGATGGGCACTGGTAGGCGGCACTCATATGGCACTGACGGGCACTGATAGGTGGCACTGTTTGGCAGCACTGACTGGCACTGATAGGCGGCACTGATGGGTGACATTGAAAGGCAGCTCAGATGGGCACTGATATGTGGCATTGATGTGCACTGGTAGACACTGATATGTGGCATTGATGTGCACTGGTAGACACTGATATGTGGCATTGATGGGCACTGGCAGGTGGCATGGATGAGCGCTGGCACTGATGGACACTGACAGGTGGCACTGCTGGGGTTACACAGATCATCAGGGCACACTGATCATCAGTGCCCTGATGATCAGTGTACATGTCCCCTCCGAGGAATGCCGATTACCGGCTCTCCTCTCGAGCTGTTAGCGTGACAGCTCGTGAGTTGAGAAATACCAATAACCGGCATTTCCCTATTTACATGTGATCAGCTGTGATTGGACACAGCTGATCACATGACCGACATCTTTGGCTCTTTCCGTTGATCGGTGATCTGCTGTGTCCGAGGGACAGAGCGCACCGCCGATCGCCGCGCACTCCCATCGCCGCGCATGCGCGGTGAGAATGGAAGGACGCCATATGACGTCCTCCCAGAACGAGAGAACCACCTTGCACCCGTCATTGCACTATATCACGGGCGGGAGGTGGTTAAAGGTGTCCTCCACCCAAAAGGGAGGTTCCACCTTAAAGCAGAGCTCCACCCAAAAGGGGAAGTTCCACTTTAAGGACTGCTCCCCCGCTCCCCCATTAAGGATTGGCACCTTTTGGGAGCGGATACCCAAATTTGACAGGTACCTGCTGCCACTTCCAGCGGCGATCAGAAACGGAAGGTGTCCTACCCTCCTTTCCTGTAGTCTTTTGGGACACGTGACAGGTCCTAGAAGACTACAGGAACATTCATGAAGCACAGCACTACTCAAGCATGCTCAGTGGGTACCCGGCTGTGAAGCCGCAAACTATCACAGCCCATTGCCCACAATGAAGATGCCCGCCTCCTGGAATACAGGACAGCCGGTGAAACGGGCTGCGGGGGACACAATGCGGGACAGAGGAACAGGTAAGTGGCTGTTCAGCAGCTACAGTTTTTTTAGCTGCTGACTTATTTTTTGATAGGTTGAGTGGAACTCCACTTTAAGGCTTTGTCCCCGCTCCCCGTAAAGGATTGGGCACATTTGGGGAGCAGGGGAGGAGTAGGTACCCGAAATTGACAGGTACCCGCTCCCAATTCCGCTGCGATCACCTAGGTGATCCCTGTAGTCTTATGGGACATGACAGGTCGCAAACAGTCTACAGGACCATTCACAAAGCACAGTGCTACTCGCGCATATGCAGTGGACACCCAACTGTGAAGTCGCAAGCTATCACAGCTGGGTGCCCACACTAAAGATGCCGGTGTCGGGAACACAGGGTGGCCGGTGAAACGGACTGCGCGGGTGACACTGTTTCTTAAAAGTCAGCAGCTACGGTTTTTGTAGCTGCTGACTTATTTTTTTGTATTTTCACTGGAACTCCGCTTTAAGGGTAGATTTAGATGTGCATCTAGAATGTTTCCTCTCCGCGTTCAGATCAGGTGGGGAGGAAGAGATTTGACTCCTTACCGCCTGCTCTAACTCCATTTTTGCAGACAAAAATGCCACAACCACACGCATTGCACTCGTTTGCAGGGAGTTTTTGGCGTTTCCCCATTTGCTTGAATGTGTAGCGTTCAGCAGGCTTACTGCCCGCCTTTTGCTAAATGTTGGGTAAAGTTTGCTGTGGGCATGAAGCCTTGCAGTCGTGACATGTTTATCACCCCTGTATGCTGTCTATTACAGCAAACGGGGAGGGCAGCAAAGACATAGCTCAACTGCACATTGTTAGCGCTCCCCCATCCGCATATCAATAAAGCCTTAAAGGATAAGCCCACCTTTGGGAAGATGTTACATGTTCCACCCATTTTAAAGGATGTAACATGTTCCCATAGCCACAGCCGACAACCCCCCTGACAGATAGTGTGGGGAGACTTCTCTCCATACTATCTGTCAAATTTGAAAATAGCATGGCTCCGCCTACACGGCCACATCATTCATTCACAGACATCCATGACTGAATGAACTGCAATGTATTCTACATTTCTATGGTAAAACTACCCCAAATCATTGTATCAGTTATAAAGTCTACAATCTATGATTGATATATATATATGTGTATGTATGTGTGTGAAAATGTATTAGTCCTGATGTACTGATGGCCTCATTTCTTGAGACCCAAAAATGCCGGAACAGTACAAATACCCCTCAAATGCCCCCTTTTGGAAAGTAGACAATAATAGGCATGGTGGGTTAATTGAAGTAATTTTTTGTCACAGTTTTTGGAAAATGAAGAAATTAAATAAAACGTGTCTTTTATTCACAATTTTGTTTTTTTACATACTGTCACCAGCTCAGTACAGCGTCATCACATGACTGGTGTGGCAGTGATCAGGGATACTGACTGGTGACAGTATGTAAAAAAAATAATAATTGTTACTCAATTTATTAAACATTTTTATTTATTTATTTTTTACGTACTTTCATTAGAGTAGTTTAGTGTCACTACAGTAACACTGTACTACTTGGGGGGTGATCAGGGATTTTTAAAAATGTTTTCATACAATTATTGCTTAGTCTAGGTTCACACAGTTACGGGTGCAGGACAGCATATAAATCCCACGTATTCCCACAGCCAAAATGCGCTGCTCTTTTGCAGATGCGCAGCATTGCCAATATCTCTGGCACTCGCACGCATCAGAAAATTTAGTGCGTTTTCAGGTGCATGAAACTGCATGGTGCAAATTTTAAAAAGCAATTTTGAAAAAGTGCAGGGACCTTTTCCCTGCATTTTCCCGTGGGTAAAGCAGACCATTCAAATGAATAGGCTGCTGTACCCGCAGAAATGTGACACCCAAAATTCAACAGTTTGAACCTAGCCTGGAAAGTTCTAAGGCCTCATACACATGGCACATAAAAAAGTCACTTTTACAGGTGTTTTTCTTTTTTTTTCAGCCTGTAATTGCAGCTCTATGTTAGTTATGCCATGCACACATAGATGTTTACAGGCCTATTAGAAAAGGAGCATTTAGAGGCTGAGAAAAAACGCCAGTACATTTAGCAGAGAAGTATTTGGGAGGAAAACAACGCAGAACCCACATATATGCACATTCATGTATTAATGCATTCTAATGGCCAGAATAAATTCATATTTTAGCTAATAGAATGCATTAAGGCACAAACATGCATAAACGCATTTGCAATGAGCCTTTTACCACATTTTTTAACCAGCTTTTCTCTAGCCAGAAGAAAAGGTATTCAGAGGAGCTGAGGAAATGCTCAATGTGCATGAGGCCTCTGGTCCCATTCACATCTCCATCTCGGGTAGTGGAAACGCGTTTTCCCACTAACAGTTTTTTTAAGAGCGATTTATGCGTACATATTTACATTATTTTTCACTTGAATGGGCTGCCCTATGTTGCGGCAAAGAAGCTCAAGAAGCAAATTTTGGCCCTGAGGCGCATTTTTTTCACACAGGTTTGCCAAACGACATTTGCAACAAAATTACACCACTTTTGGGGTGTCATTAAGAATGAATAGCACCCAAATGTGCATCGCGTATTTTGCTTCTGATTTCAGCATGATTTCTAATCATGGGAAGAACAAGGCCACAAAGGCAACACAAAGAGCCAATCAGGTGCAAGAAGCAAGCTGATAGGAGGAGATGACAGAGAGATGAAATAGTCAGTATGCTGCTTCTTTAACCACTTCCAGTCCGGACACTTTTACCCCCTTCCTGTCCAGGGCAATTTTCAGCTTTCAGCGCTATCACACTTTGAATGACAATTGTGCGGGTCATGCAACACTGTACCCATATGAATTTTTTACCATTTTTTTGAGACAGATAAAACTTTATTTTGGTGGTATTTATTCACCGCTGGGATTTTTATCTTTTTTGCTATGTAAATGAAAATGTCCAAAAAGTTTGAAAAAAAAGTGTTTTTCTTATATGATTTTGCAAATAAATAATATTTCATCATAAATCTTGGCCAAAATTTATTCCGTTATCTTTTTAGTAAAAAAAAAAAAAAAAAAGCCAAATTAGTTTATAACCAAAAATTTTAATTTTTAAACATTTTTGTTTACATTTTTATATTTTTTTTAAATTTTTTTTTTTTTACATACTGTCACCCTAGCAGTACCATGGTGACACTGTACTACTTTAGGGGGGTGATGAAGATTTTTTTTTTTTTACACCGATTGCTTTTACACCCATATAGGATGTAAAAGCAATCATTTCTCCTTCTCTGTCTGCATTCTTGCAGCCATTGAGAACTACTGAGTGAGCTGTGATTGGTCACAGCTTGTCACATGGTACAAGGCTGTTGTGAATATCCTTGTACCATGTGACCTCTGTGATTATTTACAGATTTCACACGTAGTAAGCAATGATGTCAGAAGTGACATCTTGCTTACTACTTTGCATGTGATCACTGATTGGCCAATCAGTGATCACATGATCGGGACCTCGTACAGAGGTCCCGTCCAACGATCGGTGTTTCATTGTGTCCGAACGGCTGGTCGGGAAGTGGTTAACTGTCCAACCACAGGCTAGGGAGGGAAGACCTGTGAGAGTTTTATGGTGGCCATACACAGATTTTTGTATCCTATTGATCTGAGATTCACCAAAATGATTGAATCCACAAACAATCGAATAGCCATAACTTCCATTGTGATTGATTTAAACTTAATTTCTATTAGAGTTGATCGGCCAGGGCAGAATATTCTTGATCATTTTGCATCGATCAGCAGCACGGAGATACTTTAATAATTGTATTTTGATCAATCAGAATATGAAAAGACATGGAGGAAACAGAGATGTGATCGATAATTTGCAATCGTAAATTACAATCATATCTAGCAATCAAAATTCACTTCCCTGTGTTTGTCATATGGACCAAATGGGTTGTCCTCTATAGATTGACTATCTCTATCAGAAGAGACTGACCACAAAATAAATTGATCATTAATGAAAATGTGTATGGCCACCATTGCTTTACTGAAGTAGAAAAAAGTCAGGTCTTTTTCCCTCTCAGACAGTGCTATGCTGTGTGGCAGAACGGTGTAAATCTCTGGACTGGATGGACAAATACAAATTGGCAAGCAAAACAGCTCCCTTATGTATATTGTTATTTCTGTATTTAGCTGTGTCCAGAGTTCAGCTCTAACAAGACTTAGAGGTAATTGTACAGTTTATACAGCATGCTTCGTAAGGGACCTGCTTCTACCTTTGCAGCAGTCCCATAACACCCTAATCCAGCCTCTTGAAATGTTTAGGCAAATGCCATATGTCACAGTACCCAGTCAGATGACTTGACACTTAGGTACTCAGTATTGCATCGAGGGAGGCAGAGGGTTGTGAGCACATACTTTATACTAGGAAGTCACAGATATTTTTG